CATAGCCCCCACTCCCAGAGCTACTGCACCTGCATCAGCACTGGGAGCAGGGCCTCTGCCCTGCCACCACTTGCCAGCTGGTGTGGGGGGTGGAGGATGCAGGCACGGCAGTGCTGGGAGCCGGAGCTATACCCCCACACCCCACTGTCCCCCTCCCTGAGTAATGCACCCTGGCTGGGCAGCTTGTGCCAGCCCCAGCCCCAATTCCTCCCCACCCCCTCCCCCAACCCCAACAGACTTACCAGCTGGAGGCAGCTGTGTCAGCTGCCCGTTTAGTCTATGGCCGAATCTCCGAAGCAGCTGAATCTTTTCTGAAGCTTTTCCGAATCGATTTGGATGCTTCTAATCAATTCGGAGCTTTTAACCGGTTTCCTGATTTGATTCGGATTTGGACATTCAGTCCCCGAATTGGGCCAAATCTCCTCTAAATTGAATCAGCTACTGAAGCTTTGCACAGCCCTAATGTTCAATCCCTTCCTATGCCCGACAAGATTTAACACTACATCACCCATATCAAAGCAGTAACAAAGGCATTCTCCTGAAAGCCTGGAGAATTACAGTGTGAAGAAAACCAAAACCTTAATTTAGAGGCATAATTTTTATCCCCTGCTCCTGCAGATACACTTCTGGACATGGGGCTGTATCTGCTCGGTTGTATACCTGCCAGGGGAAAGACTCCTCAGAGAAGGCAGCCAAACTGGATCCCCCTTTAAGTTAGTACTCTGGCACTAGTGTCCCTCTTACCCCTCCTTAGTTACCTTAATTGGTCACCCAACTCTAATTAAGAAAGCATGTTTGCATTTCTAATTGTGTTTAATGTGGTAAGTATGAAAAGGTTAATTTCCCCTTTTACCTGTTCTATTCTCCCTTTTCACCTAAACATGTTTCTCTATCACTTGATTTCCTTCTCTCCTTGGTCCCCTGGGTATACTCTGAATTTAGTTGATTACTAGCTTGCCGGGCCAGTCCATCAATAAGTTCAGTCCCTTAGGTCTATTCTGCTATCTAGGTATATGTTCTCATCACTATCAATGACATTTTTCTTACTCTCCCCTTAAGTAGCAGTGAACCCTAAGGTAGGGTAAACTCTTTTTGTTTTTTTCTTGTTGCTTTAACAGGCATCCCAAACCTCCTTTCCAATAAAAAAACCTGCCATTTATAAAAACAACAGCAAATAAGGTGGAGCAAATGCCAAGTTACCCACCTGCTATTTGTAGATCACGTTCACTTTGGCTCCAATTCAAAGTCCACTGAAATAACCAAAGACAACCACCAACTTCAATGGCCTTTGAATCAGACCCTTTGACAGATGCTGGTTAAACTTTTCCCAATAATATAAAATCATTTATAGTCTCCATGGGCACCTATATATGTGCAGTGAGGCTGCTCTGACATGCTGTACTGACAATGCATCAGAGCAGATTTGATTTATTGAGTCCACTGGAGCATGGTAATCACCAAGCTCCAGCTGACTCCAGCATCACATGTATCAGCATCCCCATGCTGAAAAATGGCAGTAGGGGTACTTTAACTAAAGTTTGAACGAACTTCAATTAAAGACCCTCTGCCACCATTTTTCAGCATGGGGACATTTAGACACGTGACATGCTCTCAGAGCTGCTTTAATTAAAACACCCTCCCCCTCCCAAAGCACATGTATAGACACCCCTTGTTTCTAATTCACGTTCTATTTTCAATTCTACATTATATAGTATACTTCTGCCTTTAAATAATTAAGTAATGTCCTTGCCCTCATAGTACAATTTTGTATTTGCCCACATCTCTATGCTTTTTTTAATTCAAGGCACATCCCTTATCTATTAGGGTGTCCCTTATTCTATTTCCAAACACAGCTTGATTCTCAGGACCTCACCACATTGACTACCCAACCTAATATTTCTTCCTCAGTGCTTTCCAATTTAAAGACCCTGTTTATAGCCACCTACATTTTCCAGGACAGATTCACTTTCATGCCCAGAAATCCACACTGTTCACTTCTAATTCAGATAGTGGTAACTTCCCTAGAATCAAGTTAATTTCAGTCTCACCAATACCCAGAGTTTAAGTAAACAAGTAATTACCTCTAATGTCATCACCTCTCTCTAAAACATGTCATCATATTTTCATACTAAATTACAAGGTGACAGCTTTAATAGGGCTGGATATCAAAGTACCTGAACAGCAGCATTTTGCACAAAAATGAGCATTACTATTTGTTGCCTACTATAGCTGCACAAAGACAACAACAGCTGAGCTGTAAAGCAATATTATATTTTTGTGGAATTCCATCCCACTATAAAACCTCTTTGTTTTACACTGGGCAAAATGTTTGGATCTTTGTGTCATCCAGGCTTTAATTTATGTTTTAAAAATCTGGCATGTATTAGTTTAGCAGCAACTGCATATTTTAAGGTCCTATCTGTGCATTTAAATTTCAGTAAATTGCATAAGTTGCAAAGCATGATGCCTAAAATAAATAATAATGTATAAACTATTTCTACTGTCTTTACTTTTCCACAAGAACATCAGAATATTTGCAGTTTTCTTTTCTGGGACACATGAGCAGGAAAATTAAGTAAAATGATTTAATTGCTGCTCCTAATTTTTACCAGTGAAGGCAAAAGAAGATTTCAAACCCTAGAATGAATGAGTAATCTGGAGCATCATGGGACATATATTTTTGCAATCTCTCTTCCTACAAAGTGTACTTCAGCTTTTTAAAACTGTGGTGCCAAGTAATAAAGAAATATAATCAGGTGAGTTTATTATGATTTAGAAATCTCAAGTCTTTGGCCAGTTTAACTTCAGAATTTATTTTAGAAATCAAAATACAGACATCAACAACTAAAGAATTATATGTCTTTCAGTTAACAAAAAAGAGAAACGGGGTATTAAGGATAGTATTTTCGAGCACAGGTACCTATGGTTACATATTTAAATACACATGGCTTTACTTTCCAACTTGCCAGGCACTTACAACTGCTATTCATTTCATTTAGGTTCTAAAAATGAGTTTATATGCTTAACTTTATGATCCCAACCTGCAAAATATTGTCTTGTGTGTCTTAGATAACACAAGGAAAAGAACAGAAATGACTAAAATTTAAATCAGGAATCCCTACACCCATGTCTTCCTAAACCATTAAATCACACTTCCTCTCAAGTGTGGAAGGGGATAACAGAAGTAAATCCAAGGGAGCTCTGTTCAGCAGCAGAGGCAGGTGAAGGTGGGAGGAAAACTTCTGGAATCTGTGCAAGTGAGGAATGTATTAGACATAATAAAGAAGCATGCCAAAAGGAGAAGCAGCAGCTATTGGGAGTCCGTCCAGGAAAGAGGGGCAGCTACAGGAACAAAAAAGCAGTTACTGAGCTATTTCAGAAGTGGGAAGTAGCAGAGGAGTTAGAAGGAGTTGTTTCTAGCACAAAGGAAGCAGAGGTTTTAGAAACACAGGCATTACTGAAAGAGCGTATCATCGGGCAAGGAAGAAGCAAAATGAAATCAAGAGAAAATAATGCTTTTAGGGGACAATGAGAACAAGGACATTTGTTTCTCTGCTGCCATATTAGCTTCCACCATTTGGGAAATTTCAAACATACATGGCATACATTTACTGGTTCACTGTAGGTCCATCTTGCCCAGTCTCCTGTGTCACAAAGTGACAGAGTGTGGATGCTGAAAGGGAGGGTGAACTGGGTGCGACCAGGGATTTTTCCACTGTTCTTCTCCCACTTGCAGCCTCCAGCATTTAGGGTCTAGGAAGTTCTGACTCAGAGGCTGTGCGCCTTACTTCTCTAGTTCTTCTCTATCCTTCTTGAGGTATGGGGACCAAAATTGGGCACAGTATTCAAAGTGTGGATGCACCATGGACTTATAAATGGTAATAATGATACTTTCCATTTTGTTTACAGTTCCCTTCTTAATAATTCCTAACATTTTGTTTGGGGGTTTTTTTGATGGCTGCTGAGCACTGAGATGATGTTTTTTAGCAAGCTGTCCACAAAGACTCCCAGATCTCTTTCCTATGCAGCAATAGCTAATGCATAGCCAATCACAGCACATGTATAGTTTGGGTTATGATACCATTGTATCATATTTTATACAATAGTCCTTGATCTTTTTAGAGTCATGGCATCCCTCCACCACTTTTTTCAAAGATGACAGCACCCCTGGTTGAGAACCACTGTTGGCATTGCCTCATTACCTCCATGCTTCTCGAATAGGTGTTACTGCCTCCGGATAAACTGCATGTGTGCTGCACAACCAGCCCAGAAAGGGCTGTGCCATATGGTCATGCTCCTGCTTCATTAGGGCTGTGATCAGCCTAATGCAGACATGAGCTGCCTTGTGCAATGAAGCCCTTGCCAGTCAGCCACCCCCAACTCCCATCCCCACCTCTGCCACTGCTCCTGGAAACAGAAGCAAGTGGGCAGAACTGTCCCATGTGCCTCTGTTTCTGGGAGGAGCTTATCAGGGGATGGACCCAGAAGGTCTACAGCCAAGCCAGTTCCTGCCTGCTTTTGGCTGATCAAATCCCTAATGCAGCATGAGTGTGTATGGGGCAGTTTGACCTGGTTGCCATTGCAGTAGCAGCATGTGTATGATGTATAACACTCCTGAGGATGTCATGGCACCACAGCTGAGAACTACTGTTTTATACATTTGTTAACACCTTCTGCTTATGTACTCTCAGTATAAGAGTGTAACTTAATTGGTTAAAATTATTCATGTCAAAAGGTATTTATTAATATATAACCTTAAATTAAGCTCAATTCTGAGGGTTGTACACTAAACCAATATCTAAATCCACTGCAGAATGTGAATTCAGACAGCAGGGCCTGAGAAAATTTTGCTGCAAAATCAAGTTCCATATCCCATTATTTAAGAATTCCAGGGACCCTGCGTACACTTCAGGCTGTTTTCTCCTTTACTGCCTTTTCAAATTGTTCGGCACAGGGAACGAAAGCACAACAAAAAGTGCAACAATAAATAGTTCTCTTACCGGAGTGAGTGCTCCTTCTGCCTGAGCCTCCATTGGACTTGTAGGTGTGGCTGCAAGAAACTGACCACCAGCTCCACACAGAAGTTCTAGTTTATCTGTAAGCTGTTCAGAAGCAGCAACAGCATGACACTCAACAGCTAGGCCAAGCTCCACTCCCAAGGGTTCATTCTTGGTATGGATGTTGTTTCCTGCCCAAGTACCTTGTCTGACATGCTCCTCTTGGGGGGACTCCTCTAGGACTTGTAGCACCTCAGGCTCTTCATCTGAGGGACTTCCAGTTGTTTTATGCACTAAAGCCCCATTGGTCCTGAAATCCTGCAGGTCCCGTTCCTTATCTACTATCACCCACTCCTTGGAATCAACCTCCTGCCGGCAGGAGCTCAGATTGACAGCTACAAATCCATTGCTAACAACACCATCGACCTGTTCTGGAGAACTGGCTGAGGCAGGCTTAGAAGCATCAGGGAGGTATTCTTCATCATAATGCCAGATGTGGTCAGTGCGGACAGTCACAGCAGGAACATGCATTTTCTGAGGAAGAGGAGAAGGAGCAGCAACAGCAGTTTCTTTCCCAACATTTGAGTCTTTCTGCATCTTCTCCAAGCTTAGAAAAGAAGTTACATATGAATTAAGAATGAACAGCATTATATAAGGGCTCTGCTACACATTCAAATTAAAGCTGAATAGAAACCAAATATAGAGTTGTTACACATTTTCAAACACCAACTTTATAGCTGGTTGGCTCTTTTTAGAGCTGGATAGTCATTTTTATCATGTGATAATTACTTTGCACATGTGGCTGATCTACATTGTGCGATTAAGCGGTTAATTGTGCGATCATTATTTGTGCGTGTGGCCTGTCTAAATTTATTTGACAATTCACCTGTTAATTGCATAATATATGCAATGTGTAGCAGGGGCCTAAGTAACAGCATCTGAACTTAGTCACTGGAGCTATACTAAGCTGAGCCTCCTACAATACTTTAAAATTAGCCTTTAAGAGCTCAGACCTTTCAGAATTAGTCTATAAGAGCTTAGACCTTCAAGATATGGGATGAAAAACAAACTCAGTATCCTACAAGGGTTAACTCTGCAAGCATTAATAAGTGGCACAGCTATGATGATCATGAACGGATGAGCTAACCCAGCGGGGAGCCAACTTTTTTGGCAGGCGTGCTACAAAGCAAGCCCTGCCTTTCTCCTGAGTTCCACTATGATCACCTTACCCCACCTGATCTGCTGCTCTGCTTTCTACTCTCTGCCACTGTGTTCCCTGCTCCCTCCCCAATCTGCCGTGTATCAAACAGAGAGGCTATCCATGACACTTCTCATATGTATGCTATGGGTTGGCCACCCCTAAGCCAGACAATACACAGTTCCCTGTTCCAAGCCAGAGAAATTCAGGAACAAATACAACCAGAAGAAGGGAGTTAATTATTTCTTTCACTCCAATTTCTCCCTCCTAGTTACCCAAAAATATTCTAACATCAGATGAAGGTGGAAGAAAGACCACAGCGATTCCTGTATAAATTATGTAGGTTTAATTAAACTGGGTATGTATGCATGCACATTAAATTAAACTATTTTCTCAAGAGAGAGAAGAGCACTGGGTATTACTGAGATGGTCAGGGTATCATTAGCTGGCCAGTGCAGTGAGTGTGATATTGTGCCTTAAACTCAAAGATGAGCAAAAGAATCAGAAATCTCAAGCAGCACTTACAGAAATGCATTCAACAGCATTTGCAAATGTTTTGCATATAAAATGCATCTCTTGCTAAACAAGGGCACAGTAGCAATCACATTGAAAGTAAGGGGAAGGAGGAAGAAACATGATAAATCAAGGGAAAACTGAAAACAAGAAGCCAGCTCAAAATTTCAGCCTGAGGTTAATGCTAAAATATTGAAGATGGATTCAGTAATTGCCTTTCGGTAACAAACAAGAAAAGAGAATTAAGAGACTGATGGATGATACTGATGTTTAGCACATCAAATTTTGTTGTTTACACCTTGGTGGCTGTTATATAATGAACCAACCTAAATATACCCTTCTGCCTATTTGCTGCTATTTTGCTTTTGGGACAGAACATCTTTCCACGGCATCTCACATTCTCTTGTTTTGTCAGATGGGTTAATGAAGAACACTAATGATCTTTGTTGATCAGGAATGCAAATTTCTCCCATGTGAGATAGGGGGGGGATTAATGAAAAAGAGAACATTACTTCCATTTGAGGTCTTTCTCCATCCTTAACTTAATACCACATGCAATTTTATGTTTCAGTTTCAAATGTTAGGTGACCAGCTCTTTAAATCCCTCTAGTCTAT